ATAATCCTATAGAAAGAATTTAATAAATGTCTTATCAGTAATTTGGATGTAACGTTCTCATTACGGAATTTCTAGAAAACATAAATTCCGAGAAAAATTTAAAAATCATTTTTTTAAATTTTTTCACTTTTATCTTTCTAAATTTACTAAACAACAATAATAGACTACAATTAATATACAAGCGATAGCGTATGCTAAAATGTTATGGACTGAATGACAAATAAACCATGTAAATGTGAGTACGATTTCAAAAGAAATTTCATTTCTTCCAGAATCTCCATATCCCACCAGAGCCGCGTTAGCGTTAGATTTCAACGGAAATATTCGACCCACCAACGGAGAAGCGGTAAGAATTCTTATCAAACAAAACCACTCACATCACGATGACTGAAAGTCGTGATTGAGATGGAATCTGTAAAATAGATCGAGTTTTAATGAATGAGTTAAATTTCATTCTAAGAATATTTATTTCTGTTTGCGCATGAGCAGAGTGATTCGGCGGAAGACTCCGAGCCTGCAAAGAATGGTCACGTGAGCTTCAAGATGCCCAAGAAGACTCTCTTCAGAAGCCAGCCCTTGTTGCCTCCTCCGAAATTAAAACGTAAGCAAACCTCTAGATGCGGAGGAATGATTCAATCACGTGTTGCTTCATTTATTTATCAATTTCAAAACGTTTATTTTTTGTTCAAGGTTTATTAAAAAGGAAAAAAATTACTTGAATCACTTTTATGTTATTGATTTGCAGTTTGTTCAATAAATAGCTTTAAAATTTAACCTTATTTAAAATTTTAAATAAACTGATCATTTATCTTAAACAGTTACCTAAATCGCATCGAGTGTAGAATTTTTGTGTATTAGAGTTTGTTTGTGACTTAAGGTTGCATGTTTTATAAAGTATTTTCGGGGAAGTTGATTGCTCCTTTTTAACTGAAAATAAAATAAAACGCTTCCATGCGATAATTATTTAACATTATCAAAATATCCTTTTGAATTTTTATGGTTATTGTGAAAAGGTGTCCAAGCTCTTTCTGTTGAATATCAGCTTCTTTACGTTACCATTTGTAAACTGAGTATACTCCTGGAAACTCAAAGATCACATACCTCCAATGGATTACTGAAACTCGGTTCTTTTTTTCATATTATATGATAATAAATATTGTGAGAATGAAAAGATATATTGTTACGTGGCTTATCTCTTTTTCAATTCCTACTATTAACTCACACTCTCTATATATTTATTATTTTATTTATCTTGCTGGAATTTTCAATCGTTCATAAAATACATTTTAAAGCGCTCAATTCAACTGAAATATTATGTACAGGATTATTTTGGATGACAATACAATAATTTAATTACAATTAATAAAAATCAATTGATCAAAACTAATTATTAAAGAATTATAAATACAGCCACGTTGGCATCCTTTTGGGCAACAGCAACCCTTTTGGCGACGTGTCAAAACTTGAAAACGTTTTTTTCTCGCGTTTTAAAGCATTCAGTTGAACTGAAATTTTATAGACACGATTGTTTGAGATGACAATACGATACTTTAATGATAATGAATAAAATGAATGGACACTTAATGTTGTGATTATGTCGTATGTATATACATATTTATATTAATTGTAACTATTTAATAAAAAGTAGCTATAAAATAAAATTTTTCTTTATTGATCTAAGTAGGAATTGACTTAAACTTTTTTTTCTTTATATTACTTGTTTTAAATGTAATTAATATTCATATGTAATTAACAGGCCAGTGCGTTAAGGGTGAGTTGTAATGTATCCTGAAAAGATCTAGTATAATTACAGCATCATACTAATATACTCAGTGAAACCATTCTAAAAGATGCGAACACTTTCTCGTCATCCAAGATTCTCCACAATTAGTTTTTATCTGATATTGCCAATTTGGAGACAGATGATCTGTCGCCAAGGTCACTTCAAATTACTTAGCATAATTGAAGGCTATTTATTCTCTCTTCACCTACAGATGATCTTTCCATTCACAATACCCCTTTGGAAAAGAAGTGAACAAAGTTCAAAATCTCTTTAAGGATATTTCATTTTGACTTTAGCATAAATTCATTTTTGACTTCATAATTAATCTAAGAAAAATAAGTTTGTAAAAATAATTTAGAAATAGAAATAATAATATGCGAGTGATTTTAATATAAAATGTGTATGAAACTATTCTGCAGATATTTCTTTTGTTCTCTTTAAAAATAGTCGTTTAACAGCTTAATAATTGAATTTTATGAACACATATTCCTTGAAACTTCTGCTGTACAAAATTTATTCTACTTTTAGTTGAAACCGTCCCCCAGAATAAATCGAATTTTGTAGTGTACGTATATATACACTTTATTCTACCTCCTGCTGCTTGTACACTTTTATATTCCTCAACTTTAAATATTCTGAAAAATATTAGAAAATCCTTTTAGTTTTAAAGAAGTTTAAGAAATTTTCATAGAAAAGAAAACAAGAAACAAGTGAAACGACGCTATCAGACTGCGAACAGAAACAAACCTTTAACTCTTAAGAGCACATGATTTTTTTTTCTTTTGAATTTTGAAAATTTGTTTTTCATAGGAATGTAGTCATAGTTTACGCAAAAAATAGATTTATAAAAAATCAAGGTAATATTGTTGACTATTTATTTTGAAAATAGTTTGGCAACTTAGATTACTTCCCAAAAAATCTGACATATATCCAATAAAATTTTAGATACAGCATCAAACATTGATAGTTTACCTGACAACAGATACGAAGTAATTTTTTCTAAACTCAAAATAAAACTCAAAAGAAACTCAAAACTAGAAAGTATATTTTTCCAAGTAACACACAAAATTTTATCATCCACACAATTCAAGTGTCAAAAAATATACATATAACTTATCCGCTAAAAGTAATGTCGAGTTTTTTCTTTTATATATGGTTTATTGTCTATGGTTAACAAAGTGCGTCTGGAAACACACACACTCAGATTTTTGAATAAAATCAAGTTGAATTCGAATGCAGACAATTGGCTACATTGTGCATTTAACCCTTTCGCTACGTAGTTATTTTATCAATGTAGGCTCAAAAATTGAGTATTTTTTATTACGTATCTCAAATCTACATTTTAGAATTAAAATATACAAAAAAAATTTGTAAAAGAGTTTTTATTTTAAAATATAGAATTAAATCATAAAAAATATATGAACATAAAAACAAAAATGAAAACATGAAGAGGAACAGCACGGGTTGCGCAGCTAAATAGTTGGAAAAAAATGCATGCCCGTGGAAATCGCGGGTTGCGCAACGAGAAGGTTAAGGATTAATTATATGACGAGTCACACACAAAACGCATGAACATAAATTTATAATATATTCATATTTAGTCACACACACTTATCAATACCATTTCATATTTAATTTTATTTCATATTGTAAATTATTGGTAATGCAGTCGAACTCGGATTTTTCTCTTTTCCCGATTAAACTGAAAGCAAAAAAACCCCTATTTAAAGACGAAAAAAAAACCCCACAAATTAACACATTATTTCAACAGCCAAAAACTTTTTGTGTTTGTTTCTATTAGAGAAAATTGGACTTCTGTTCAAATGACGTATCCTTTTTTTCCGGAACAGAAAAAGACTTTTCTTGAAAGCAGCAAATTTTTACGGGAAAAAGTGCAGATCATTATTAGACTTAATAGGTGCAGATGTGTGAGTCGGGAGTGTAACCTATCATGGGAGTTTTGAATAGAACAGGAAATTCCTTTCCTGTCTTATCCAACTCGACAACACAAAACTTGAGCAATAATGTTACATTTGATGATGTTCAATTGAAGTTGGGGCAATTGTTGATTTATAGGAGCCGATGAATAACAATTCTGATATAGAAACTAATAACGAAACTTCTATCAAAACTGTTACATTTTCAAATGCCTTACATTGTTCGTAAACTGTGAAAACATACCTTATGCAGTAGGATGTAAATTATACAATATTTTCTTCTCTGCATACAGTCGAAAAGGAACTCTTTCGCGAGTCAGGTATCCAAACATCTTTACTTAGTATTTTTAAATTTCCAATTAACTGGTGCGTAATATTTCACTAATAGTAATTAATAAAAAGTTAAATAAAAAGTATGCAATTTCTAGTTATGGATATTTTCTGTGTAATTGCTTATTACGGAATTTCCAAAAGATGTGCAAAAACTTGTATTTTATTTGGACCCCGATATTAAGAACCACCCCGAATTAACGATCGAAATGTTCTATTCCAATGAATTCGTTGAATCGAAGTTCAACTGTATATTTATATATCTGGTCATTATCATGTGTTATAAAAATTATCTTTGTTGATTATCCTAATGTAAAAACATCTACTGACGAACTTCTCTCGTCTTTAGGACTGGAGATCAACTCAGCCAATATCAAGAGGTGGGTGCGCGAGGAAGACTTGGAGAAGCTGGAAGGAGCTGTTCTGGAGGGTTACGGGGAGAAAGTCGCTTTGCAGAAAAGCGACAACGCCAAGCTGCAAAAATACATCAGTGATCAGGTGACAGCTAGACTCTTTCGGTGACGCATTCATCCCGTGTTTCTTTGAGTAGATGTATGCCCCAAATAACCGAGTGGTCATGATGGCCGTACCCGATGTTGTTTGGGTCGAATTTGAAATCTGGTGCTCCCAAAACCCCGTCTTTTAATGAGGCTGCTACTGTCAAGGCGGTGTGAAAATGTGACAGTTTGGAGAGGGGGATGCCGACTCTAACCATCCCTTGAAGTCTAAAATGCAGATATTTAAATTTTTGGAAATGAAACCAATTTGGCTTATACATCAAATTTGGATATCAAAAATTTGAAAATAAGGAGCGAAAATCTGGAGCTTTCTTTCCAATAAAAGCGTTGAACAAACTATCCGTTCTATGTCAACAAAATTAAAACCAAAAAGTTTATTGTAAATCATCATGTTTTTCAGTGTAGTGCTTTTATCGTTCCCCTATTTATCGAGTCAGGATAGCCAAGCGGTCTTAGGAGCTGCGTTCAGGTCGCAGTCCACTACGGTGGGCGTGGGTTCCAATCCCCCTTCTGACACAAGTTCCTTTTTAAATTTATTGAAATTCGTTTTGAATAAATTTAAGATCTGATTTTTCAAAAAGATAATCAATAGGGTAAACTTGGCAAATATGGGGACGGTTCAACAGTTTCCCTTATTACTCGTCAGGGTTTTGGGTTGGTGCATTCGTACTGCGGCTTTGGCAATGCTCAAGTGTCATGTTGTTGTGTGGTAGAAACAGACCATTTTTAATGTAAGTACAATTACATTCTCTTTCTTGATATTTCCATTTGGGGCTGTTGTTATATTTTAGTTATCTTAACACGCAAAATCAATTAATTTTATATGAAACCTATAAATGGCTGTAATTTTATATGAGTGGTGGAAGAGGGTGGCTTCGTTCCTTCTCATTTCGACATCAGTAATGCCAACTTTTGAATAGGTCACTAGAGCAAATATGAGCAGTAAAACTAAGGGCAATATGGGCAGTACCAAAAATTGATGAAGTAATGTTTTCCAACCCTACTCCCAGAATATCTTGTCAACCTACACGTCCTTTGAGTCCATCTTCTTCCACAAATATTTTCCTTATAATAACTTAGGTTAAATTACTGCAGCACATGACTCATCTTTTCCCCCTACTGAAATCTCGCAGTCAGGAGCAGCATTTTTGAAGGAGCTGAGTCCAATTCCAACTCTGAAAATAAAATGTAAAAATGAATGAAGTGCAGAAGGTCTGGCTTCAACGAAGAAGAAAGTTGCCAACGGAGATCGTAAAGAAGGTGTAGGGGCAAAACGCAGAGCAACAGAAAACAGAATGCGTCCAGCATTTGTCCTGTCTATGGTGCCAATTATTATAATAAAAATCAAGGACAGGAATGGGTGCAATGTTGTGGCTTTTGTTCATCCTGGTTCCGTGGGGAATGAGTCGAGGTAGAAGGGGACTCCTTCTATTGTAATGAGTGTAGCGCAGTGGCGTAACGTACACCCCCGCATTTCGGGGGTGGGCAAAGCCTGATTGACGTCAATTACGTGTTTAGGCTTGGGGCCAAAAACTGACTTTTCAGGGGGCTAATATTATCCGTTATGTCACTGGTGTAGCGTATGATATAAAGGCAAGTCCTCATTAAATGTTGTTTTTATTTAAGTTTGTAATAATTTGTGCTAAATTAATAGTTTATCCGATTTTCACCATTTAATTATTTTTAATTTATAGATAAAAACTTCGACATTTTTTGTTATACAAATTGTTTAAAAATAAAAGTTTTTAAAAAATTTATTTATTTTTTGCCAAACATGTAATCTGGACAAAAATGCCTTTCCGTTTGGAAAAGGTAAGTGTAGAGATGGCAGTTCTTTTTATCATCATTTTTATAATGCCCCCTGCCCCTATTTTTGGCAAATGTGCTCATAAAGTTTTAGTCAAATATGGGCAGTAACGAAATTTGTTTTGGTGCTCTTAGCACACACAGCAACAAGAGTTAGAGATTTGTTCATGTACCGTTAGAAAGACCATAACCTTAAAGTTTGAAATGTCTTAATTTTGGAAAAATGGAGAGGATTTTAGGGAAGTGTATTTTCAATTAAATGTTTTGGTGCCCATATTTACCAAGTATACCCTGTATCTATGATATACCCATTCTTCTTAGGGGTGATTTGAAAAATAAAACAGTAGAGACTGAAGGATAAAGAAATTTTTAATGAGGTAACTTAAAGTGAATTGTAAATTAAGCACAAAAAAAGGCATTTCTCCTTAACAAAAAATCATATTTGCCAATTCGATTTCTATTCATATTTCCATTTTGCGGCTAAAGTAACACTTTTTTTCAAATTTCAAGATTGTAGGTTTAGTAGTTCATAAACGGGAATTTGTTTCAATTTCTACTATTAGTTCACTCTCTCCCTATATGTATACATATATATATATATATCTTGTTCAAATTTTCAATCGTTAATAAAATACTTTTTTATTCATAGTTAAAATACATTTTTGTGTAGTGGATGGCACGTGATGACAATACAGATTTTTCAAATTTTAACTCATTAATTAAATTTTATTTTTCAATTTTAAATTTATACTGCGTTATTTCTGATGAAGATACATTTATCTGCAATAGATGGCGCCAGTAAGATTTTCTAACGAAGTAGGATTTGATTTTAAAAACAAATTCTTATATTACTTGTTCATATATAAAACATCCTCATAAAACTCCCATGGGGATCGATTTTCGTAAAAACCACTTTTGTAATTGGTTCTCTACTCTATGAAAGTAACATGCATGCCAAATCTGTAGGTCTGATAGTTAAAAAACGTGAATACCTATCTATAATGGCACTTAAACCCTCGCATCCCCCTTAGGAACTGATATTCTCAAAACCCTTTCTTAGTGGATCTCTACTCCATGAAAGGAACACGCCTACTATATATATATTTCAGGTATGCTGGTCTAATAACACCGAAGCTACGAAGTTTTTCGAACCATAGTTTCGAAGATATCGTGTTGAGTGAGTGAGTGAATGAGGAAGTCACTCTTCTCCTTTATATAAATAGAAAAGAAAATGTACGATGTGCGAGCCCGCTAAGAAACGAGTCCCGGTACGATCGAAGGAGTGATTTGATGGCAACTGTGGGGTAGCTCTCTATCCCCCATCCATAAAGAAGGTTCTCGTGTTTTTACCTGAATCGACCCTAAAGGGGCTTAAGATACTTTATAGATAAATATTCCCGTTTTTGAACAATTAGACCTACAGAGTAGATATTTGCTGAATATCGATTTTGCAAAAATCAACCCGAAGAGACGTCACGGGAGCTTAAGTGGCATCAAAGTTAAATAATTCCGTTTTTGAACTATTAAAACTACAGACTTAAAATTCGGCAGGCGGGTTTGTTTCATGGAGTACTAAAGGGATTTTGCGAAAATTGACCCCCAAAAGACATTACGAGGGCTTAAGCGGCGATACAAATAAATTTTCTTGTTTTTGAACTATTAGATCTGCAGACTTGAAATTTAGCAGGTGTAGAGAGAGACCGGCTACAAAAGAGGGTTTTTGAAAATTGACCCAGTGAGGCGTTATAGATAAGTAATAAGTGCATTCATTTAAAAGGTATTTTACATTTTTCTATATATTGCTTTTTAACGGGTTTTATTCTCCTTATGACTTAATCAAGAATATAATACTTTTTATTTTTGAAAAATTAACCCTTGCGAAAAACGGGTAGTTTAATTATAAAAACTAACAAGTTATACAAATTCTGGGTGTTTTTATGTAAATAAAACCTTAACTTCACCTAAGAAATTCGTCATGAGAATAAAAAGTTAATAGATTATTTCAGTTGCAAATGGAATAGTCAGTGTATTTTTTAAGACTAACATTTTATTTTGCTCGCGTATCAGGTACCATTGCTGGTTCGTAAGATCGAAGCGATCCACATCGCCGTGTCCAATGACGACCTGACGGAGCTGCAGAACCAACTTCACGAGACGGACAACATGGTGCTGGCTAAAGACCACTTCGGGATGGCCCCCATCCACAGGGCTGTGCTCATGAACAAGCCAGAGACACTTGCCTTCCTCATAGATAGGTTTCCCGAGACCGTGAATGCCAGGGACAAGGTAGACATCTCAATAAAAAAATTCAAAGTGTTCTTTTTGAGTTTGAATCGTTAAATGCGAAATTCCATTCTCTTTCCAAAGCATCTATCAGATATTCTCTTAAATTAGCAGCTTGAAAGACGTTGTTGAGGTTAGATCACTCCTGTGAAAGGCAGCGTTAGGACATGCTCCTTATCTGGAGGTCACTGGAAGTGGGAGAGAGTTCAAGCGAATCCGAAAGTCAATCGCAGTGAGAGTCCGTTAGAGTGTGTTGGGGCGTCATTGAGTCTTGAAACGTGTGGAAGCGTCTCTGAAGTGTCGTACAGCATATGGGTTTCAATTTTGGTATGTATTTAAATTTGGAATATGTCACGCCCGCAAAGACGACACATGAGACAGAATCATTTCTGTTTGAAAGTCGCCGTGATTACTATCCGCCCATTGGCGCTTTTCGCCAATCACGCGGTGGACTTTGAAGCTGGTGATTGGCGTGGAAACTGTGCTGGGCCCCTCTGTGTCGGCTGGATAAAAAGAGGTCAAAGGTTAACTAGCCTTAGAACATAAGCGTTTGAGTATCCGGTCTTAGATACTTTGCCACGCGAAACTACGGGGCCGTTGAGGCGTCATTTGTTCACTAACAGGAAATCGGTCCTTTGATGAAGCCCACCACAAAGTGCAAACACTATTAAGCTCTGATTCTTTTTTTTCTGTTGACAATTAAAAGTTCATTTTTAATAGTACTGTGAATATGCTCTTGTGTACTGACCGTGGTGAGAGTTCCTAGATGTGTTAAAAATAAATTCATTCAATCGTTTTCAAATGCTTATATTATAATCAGGATAATGAATAAATCACTCTTATTCGGTACAATAAATATCTTTATTAACCTGATAGGCCAATAAAATAATAAAGAAAATTTTAACTCATTATTACTAATGACATTATTTCGTATATTTTTATTTCAATTTACCTTTAATTACTATAAGATATAGAATATTTAAGAAACTTAGTTCCCCTTTTTGCAGTTATATATACATTTTAGGACTTTATATGACTTGTTCTCTTAGGGTCTTTTACTATAATCATCTTTCTGTGAAGCAATATTACTATTTAATGTCAAGCGAATGAAGAGAGAAAAAGTGATCGTGAGTGAATATTAACGCAACACTCTTCAGCAACACGAGTGCTTTGGGTGACGGACCTCATCATTTTGAACCATGGTCAAGTGACGAGGCCGACATCTGAGCTAGCCCCTCCCTCTCCCTAACTTCTACACCACACGAATGGAAGAGCATTTGAGTCTCGACATATTTAACGTGCATTGGACCCTTCTACACGGAGGGTGTTCAGCAGTACTAGGCTCGAACTCATAACACGCTATTCACGAGTCCTTTATGGGTAGGCTGTCGCCTAGAGAAAAAAAAGGAGAGAAAGCAGCTTTTGAA